ACGTATCGCGCCAGACCCACGTTTTCAGTCTACGCGTTGAGCTCCTGAGCTCCGTGTCAATACGGGAGCCCCCCCTCCCCCGGCCCTGCAAACTCGGGGACGCCCTTGTGTCTCGTCCCTTGGCGCTTGTCGTGCCCTACCCTGTTCAGGCCGCGCTGCCTTCGGAACGGGCACTGTGCCCTCTCGGTATCCTCCGCGGTCGGTGTCGGCTGCTTTCCTCCTCCTCCTCCTCCTCCTCCTCCTCCTCCTCCTCCTCCTCCTCCTCCTCCTCCCCCCTGTCCTCCATTCTTTTTCCTGATAGATAACTCCTCCCTGTCGCACCCCGAGGCCGGTCGAAAGGGCGGGCCGGGCGTTTCGCCTGAGGCTTCGGCACCATTTATGATCCGGAGCCTTAAGAAGTGACAGCAGTTTCACAGATGGAGGGAGGGTTGCTTCCAAATGTGGCTCTCGCTGAAGCGCAGCGCACATTCGTTTCAAACATCTACCAGACCTTCACGGATTCAGGGCGGGTGGTTTTCAAAATGCGACTCTCGCCTTAAAACCGCGCACACTCATTTTAACAATTTGCCAGAGTTTTACGGATTGAGGGTGGGTGGTTTTCAACATGTGGTTCTCGCTTTAGCGCCGCGTACACACGTTACACAAACATTCAAGAGCTGCGTGGATTCAGGACGGGTGGTGTTCAACATGTGGTTCTAGCTTCAGTGCCGCGCACATTAATTTTAGGCAGTTGTAAGAGTTTCATTGGTTTCCATGGTTCACGTACCAGAGAAGGTGTTCGGGATCGGTTCAGGAGTATCAGGACGCAACGGCTATACTGTGGAGACCGAGGCCAGCAAGCATGCTTCCAGGCCCTTGGGACAAGCTGCCCAGGAAGCCCCCGGAGCGCCCACGGACGCCCGGAACACCAGGGTAGAGGCCCCCACCCGCGAGCATTGGCAGTACCCGACACAGAGAACCCAAAAGGATCTGAAGGCATTCCACCCAACCCCTCGCGGCACGGTGGCGGCTGTTGCACAGGGTCGCTCCTTGGGGCCAACGCCGGCGCTATATGTACCAACCATCCTGTGGCCTTGGGCGAGCTGCACCGAAGGACCCCGCAGCAAAGTCCGCATGGCGGCACTGAGCTCGCTTCGGCACACCCCTCACACGCTTTGGGGCCCTGGCCCTGTGGGGAGATCCACCTCAGCCCCCAGCGGTTGCGTTCACATGCGATTCCTCCCAGTGTCGGCGCACCCCTCATGACCCGCGCGCGTCGCCGCAACTCCGCACGGGCGACCAGCGCGCGTCACGGAGACTCCACTGCGCTCTGCCTCGAAGAGTTGCCCTTTGTGCTGTGGAGCGGGCGACAGATGTGCATCTGTCGGGCGCCTGACAGAGAGCGCTTTCCGCGCGACCGCGCTCGCCCGTGCCATTCTTGTCCGCGCCCTTGCATCTGGTGGGGTGCTTCGCCAGGTTGGTTCTTATGTGTAGACTTGCTCCTCCTCTTTCTCCTCCTCCTCCTCCTCCTCCTCCTCCTCCTCCTCTCGTTGCATCGCTCTCCACTCCTGCGAGCGCCGGCCCAGCATGGACGATCTGCGACAGCTCGGTTGTCCAGGCTGCCTGCTGGGGGCGTGGCTTGCGTGTTTGCCATCTCGCGGTGAAGTGGTGAACTTCGACCTTGATTCAAGAGGGAAGAAAGTTATAGGCACAAATAATCGTCGGTTTCCGCGGACATGTAGACAATACTTGAAGTGGAGTGGAAACCAACATCCATATAATATTTAAAATATTCAGAACCAGTGGATTTGTGTAAGTATATTTGTGTGTTTCTGGGCCCCCTCATTGATGTCAGGTCTGCCTTGCCCGCTCCAGGGCCCCTCTCCCAGTTACCGGGCGATGGGGAATATGCGCACGCGCATGCGCCGATCCTTACCAGGCCTTTCCTGGGCCTCGCCAAGGTTTTAAGCAGTGACAATCGTGCCAGCCGTTTTTGACAAGCATTCTGCCCCCTCTCCCTCCTCATCGGCCTCCCTCCTCGTTCCGGCATTGTCTCACGAGTTTTTACTGTCAGTGAATATGACGCGTGAGATGCGCGTGGCTGTCGGCAGGGGCGCTTCTCTGCGGTAGAGAAAGGCATGCGCCGATCCTGGCCAGGCCATCCCTGGGTCCCAGGTCGGTGTATTAAATGCCTCCCAGGTCAAACAAGAAGATCGTCGGCGCAGGTAAAACAGTTTTTTGTTATGTTGTGTTAGTTGTTGTTCTTGGTTGTTTCTTGTGTTTGTCTGTCGTTGTAGTTTGTTTGTTGTTGATGTTGTTCGGTTTGTTTTTGTCTGTGTTGTTTCCTGTTTTCTTTTTGAGGGGGGGGTGTTCTGCCTCCCAGGTCGAGAGCGTCGGCGCAGATCCTTGTCCCAGGATAGGCCAACCAGCATCGGTGCATGTGCGCAGTGGTCTTCCTTCCTTCTGAAGCAATTAAGAGCCCCACCCGGCGTTATCATTAGCACCGCACCGTAATTAAATAATTATTTGGGGGTTTTCGCCGGACGATATAATTAGCCCCGCGCAAATGAAAGGAAAATGAATAATTCCTGCGCCCCGCCTCGGATGGCATCCCAATTGGAATTGTAAAAATAATAAGAATGCGAATAAGAATAAGAATACGAATAAGAACAATAATAAGAATAAGGCGAGTGTTACAGGTACTGCTGACACCGTAACTGTTACTGCTACCGTGATGGCGATGATGATGCTGATGACGGCGATGGTTTCGAAGCGGCCTGGGCAGGCGACCGGAACTCCAGCCTGAAGTGCGCTGAGCGAGTCCTCAGCTTGACCCTTTATACTTCTGCGGCCAGAAGTATTGCGCTGAATTTGGCAAATTCTACTAAGATATGTCAAGATGTCTCAGGCGATTTGGCCAATTCTGCTAAGAAATGTGAGAGTGTCTCAGACGATTTTGCAAATGCTAATAAGAACTGCGAGGATGTCTGAAGCGATTTGGCCAATTATATTAAGAAATGCGAGGATGTCTCAGGCGATTTGGCCAAGTCTATTAAGAAATGTGAGGATGACTTAGGCGAGTCGGCCGATCCGCCTGGTCGCCGTCGCCGTCGCCGTCGCCATCGCCGTCTCCTCCTCCTTCTCCTCCTCCTCCTCCTAGCCACAGGTGCCAGAATAACGCTTCCAGGGTGCGGGACGGTTATCGTTTCGCCGGAAGGGGGGGGGGTTCTGTAATTGCTTCTTCATATCATAGCCCGCCCCCGCCCGAAATACGGGAAACATCAATGACATAAACGTAAAGACTCCGAGGTCCGCGCGGATTTCTCGGATCGGCGCTGGACCCCCCTCTCCTTGGAGCGCGGAGCGCGCCAGGGACGGCGCCAAAGGCGCCGCCAGGGGGCCCCAGCGCCGATCCGAGAAATCCGCGCGGACCTCCGAGTTTTTATGTTTATGCCACAGGGGTGGACGTAAACGGTGTTTAGGCGATTTCGTGGGCCGTTTCCGTTTCGATTTCGTTCTGCGTTCAAGGCGGATTGAAGACAGAATGAGGGAAAACGAAAACAAAGCGAAAACGAAGAACACCGTTTGGGTTCAGCATTGCTATGTCACTGCTTGCTCCCCCACGAGAGCCCCCTCCCCCGCCGCTGCGCTCTCACCGGCCCATGGCTCTGTCGCCCAGGCGCCCCGGCCCTGCAGCACCCGCGGCCGCCGCAGCAGCACGGCCCACCGGCGCTGCCCCTCCAGCCGCAGCCACCCCCGGGCACGGCCCCGCCGCACCCGCAGCAGCTGCACCAGCCCCAGGGGACGCGAGGGGCGGAGGAGCAGGAGAGGGCGGTGGGCGGGGATCGAAGAAGAAACAGCGCTGCAAACAGAAACCCTTGGCGCTCCGCGCGGATTTCTTGGATCCGTGCTGGGCCCCCCCGGCGGCGCCTCCGGCGCCGCCCCTGGCGCGCTCCGCGCGCCACAGAAGGGGGGGGTCCAGCGCAGATCCAAGAAATCTGCGCGGAACGCCAAAAGTTTCTGTTTATAACGTCTTTTCTTCCTCTGGGACAGGGGGTCCCCTCCCTCGCCCCCCTTTCTCTGAGGCAGAAGTGACACCGCTACCGGTACAGTGGAAACCCATGCCAAGAAACCCTGTTTGGCTCCAGGGTGCCCTGGGTTTCGTGGGCTTCGATGGTTCTCATGTGGAGAGCGTGGCGTTTAATCAGTGGACGCTCTGGGGTCTCAGGGTTGGGTTTCTTGTGGAAGCTTTCTTATGGTCGAGCTCCTACTGGCCCCCTTGTGCGCACCGCCAAGGAGTCGGGCGAGGTGGTGCGGTGGGGAGGGGTGGGAAAGCAAGGGGACAAGGATATAGTCCAGGCCTCCCGCACGGGGCTAAAGTAAAGGGGTTCGGAGGGTCCGGTCTGGAGCGCGATTCTTCCCATGCCGACGTCGCTTGTGCATTGCTGGCGCGTCAGCGCTGCTGTTCACCGGCGATGCGGCGCAACCTTCCGACCCCACCTGCTCCAGTCCCATGTGGGAGCCCACCCGTGCCGCTGCTCCCTGGGCCTCTCACAGGGAGTGCGCTCGGGAGAGCTCGAGGACAGGCCGGTCGTGGCGGCGAGGGCTCTCTCCTCGGAGCAGGAGGGGCAGGAGAGCGAGCAGCGAGAGAGGCGCGGAGGAGCAGGAGGAGAGGCGGCGGCGGGCGAGGGGGAGGAGGGGGAGGAGGAGGAGGAGGAGGAGGAGGAGGAGGAGGAGGAGGAGCAGGACCAGGAGCATGTCCGTAGCCATTGTGGCTCAAGTTGCCATCTTCTCGAGGTGGTACAGAGACCCGTGCCTTCTTGCAGATTCGGCCCGCGACACAAGGGTCTGCATCTAGGCTTTCATTTGTGGCGGTGAGCTCCTGGGGGAGCACTTTCCCGCCGACGGAACCAGCTGTCTCTTTTCCTTCTTCCCGCCATGTCACCGATGAGAGCAGCCGCCCATGAGAATGGTACGGCGACGCCTCCCGATGATGATGGTCGTCCTCTTCCTCATCCTAAAGCTGCTCGCGCTGGCGAATATGTTGGGCTTCGCGCCCACGCGGACGCGACCGAGGCTCAGATGCTCCCCCAGCTTGCCAAGATCCAGAACAGCATGGCCCACCTGGCCCATACCATCACGACCCACACGGCGTCCATCCAGAACCAGCTGGAAGCCCGCGTCGCTGACATCGACCGGCGCATGTGCAGGACCGAGAAGACAGTCGAGGACATGGCCGAGGATATCAAACTACCCCGGAAAAAACACGACTTGTGGTACGAGCAAAACCTGTCAAGCAAGCAGTTCCCGAGCCGCCTGGATTCAGCAGAGAGGCCAATCCCTGCATCTTGGTCATTCGTGCTCAAGCGATGGCCACAACAAATGAAGTTGTTCAATATATCGTTCTTTGGCTTCAAGAGTGTAATGTCGACGTGGACGATCACGAGATTCAAGGTGACCAAACTGGACGCAGGTTCACACTGGCCTTCAATGGTGCACGTGGATGCACGTCGTGCGGCGCAGTGTTTGGCCCATCTCAAACGCGACGACGGCTCCTACTGGAAGTTCGAGACCACATCCCCCGACAATGTGCCGATGTCCCTCTTCATATCAGCGGACAAGAACCTGTGCCAGATCAAGAAAGAGCTCTACACGAAACTCCTGCGCAAATTCCTCTCCGAGTGCTACGCTTCTACACTGACAGGCTCAAAGGAGAGATCGCGCACCAGTGGAAGCCGATCTGCTGAATCACCCCTCGCCCAGACGCTGAACCGGTCGTAGAATGGACGACCGCCATTGCCGCGAGTTTAAGATCAACCGTTCGGAGATCGCAGAGGAGGTGGACACATTGCTGCGCGTCCAGAGTGCCGCCGCGCAGTGGAATATTTAGCGATATGTTCCGACTTCTTCCCTCTGCCGCATCCCAAGATGTCTCTCTTCGCTTCTCGACATGGAACGCCCGCGGTCTTTGTCATCATGATCCTACCACGCGTTCTAAGAAGTACGATGACCTTCGCTCTCTCATCTCTGGTCTTTCTACTTCCGCTACTCAAGAGACACATGGGGATTGAGAGGACATCCGAGACTTCCTCCACTTCTCGACTCGCCCATGCCAAGCCAATTGTTCTTTCTCTGGTTATCGTAACAAAGGTGGTGTTATTTCTCTTGCCCCGCTTCTTCTCCCTCAATTTGGATTCGGTGCTGCCTCGCGAATGTATGACCGCGCGTTAGTGCCTGGGCGTGCACTGTGCACGTGCGTGGAGCTCTGAGACTTTGAATCGCCTTCCTCTGGTCGCTTGCCCATACATCAGTACAACATACACAACCGCAAGTTGACGCATGCCGACGGAGATCGAATCATCCCGAACATCAATACATCCTTCAACGACGCGTTGTTGCATCCCTCCTCATATCTAGCGGTCGTTGCTGACGATTTCAAGGTCTCGTCCTCTCCGCCGCGGCAAGCGGTGCCACCGGCCGCGTTCGCTCCCACAGCCGCGGCCATGGAGTGGCATCGCGCACGCGATGAAGATTGGAAGGCGACTCTTGGGCAGATGATTGGAGATGGGGTCTCCAGATCCTGCTCACTACAACGAGGTTCAAGAGCATCTAGGCTGCGCCCCTCAATAGTTCTGGGCCCCCGGACTACTGGCGCCCCCCGGACTACAGGCGCCCCGTCCGCACGCCCTCTCGGACTACAGGCCCCCCCCCCCCCCCGGATTACAGGCCCCCCCCCGGACTACAGGCGCCCCTCCCCGGACTGCAGGCGCACCCTCCCCGGACTACAGGTGCCCCCGTTAGGCGCCACAAATCCTCTCCGAAGCTACAGGGCCCCGTCAATTCGGCATCCCCTGGGAGCCAAAGCGGCCCACCAAGTATGTCTCTGCGCATTTCCACCCATCGCCCACATTGGGTCAGCGGTCGAGACGGGGCACTATCGAGGGACGAATGGGCATCGAAACAGGGACAGAACGACAAAAGGAAAGACATCTAGAAAAAGAGGCGCACGAGTAGGGAGGAAGAGAGGAACAGAGATATTGGGAGAGCAAGAGAGACACCGCGTGCGTGTTCGCGCGCGCGACGCGTGCAACGATGCGCGCGCAGTCCCGCGCGCGCAGACACCCGCGCGCCTGCGCGCGTGGAGCCACGCGTGCTTCGACGCATAACACGCGCGCCCCGCTGGACTACAGGTACCCCCGCGCGGCCCCACCCCCGGACTACAGGTCCCCCCCCCCCCCCCCCCCCCGACTGCGCTCCTTCCCCCGACTACAGGCGCCCCCCCCCACCCCCCCCCCCTCACCCCCCCCCGACTACTGGCCCCCCCCCCCCGGACTACTGGTGCCCACCCCGGATTACAGAGCTTTCCTGGATGTTGTCCGCCGCTGCCCCTCCCCACCCCACCCCACCCCACCCCACCCCACGCCGATCCCGACTCTCAGCCGATCCCGAACGATTTCTTCCAGCGCGAGATATTCAGAGAGTTCGCAAACGCGACGATGGAACAGATCGACACATCGACCCCCTCGCCCCCGCCGCCGCTCGCCCAGCGCGAGGAAATCCCCCAAAAAGGTTCCAGAGTTGCCCGCGGTAGTCTCCCTGAGGGCGACCCCCGGACCCCGGGGGGCAAGTGCTGTCATTGCGTTCCATGTCCAGAATTGGAGGCGAGACTTCCGAGGCGCTGCTAGGCTTCTTCAATGTGATCAGGGCCGTCGGTTTATTTATCTCGACCTCTTCCGCCCCCGTCGCTGCCCCTCTCTGACCGCGCGGGCTTTGTCGCGCGCCTTGGCGCTCTCCAGTGGGCAGATGCTGAAAGGGGACAGCATCGGGCGCGCCAGCGACTGACTCGGTCCGACAGCGCAGCCTTGGAGGCGAAGATGAGGAAACGTCTTCGCCACCTTGTTCGGAGGTCGCGCCTCCGGGCCCCTTTGGACGCGGCCCCCCCCCTTGCAGGGGCCGGGGAAAGCGAACAAAAAAAAACATGCGAGTTTCAGGTCAGAACGGAAATTGCATTTCATTGAGGAGAGGTCTTTGGCCCCGAAGTGATTGACGAACGCGCTGCCAATAAATATCTCAAGCGTTTCGCGCCGAAGACTTACCTCTCCGACCTGCCGCCCTTGACCCTCGCGGACTTCCAGCAGTTCCTCCAGAGGCTCTCGGACACAGCCCCCGGCCCTGACACGCCCCCGTACTCAGCCTGGAACTGCGCCCCTCGCGCCCGTCAAGTTTTGGGCAAGACCTGATGGGTATTGCGCGGGAACAGCATGCCACTCGGCTTCAATTCGTTGCTCGGCATTTTCGCGCCGAAACTTACCGGGGAAGGGGGGGGGCGAAAGCGCGCGGACGCCAAGATCATAATCTCGGCTGCACTCAAGAGACTTTGCCGAGCTCTCCCAGAACATATGTAAAATTCAAAGAGGATTCGCACAGGGTAGAAACTTTGGGCAGAACATCGTTGAACTCGACGGCAACGCTCGACTGTGCTCGGCGAACCCGTTGGCCCTTCCGCTCAAACCTGTTCTTCTGAGTTATGATTTTGGCGCGGCCTTCCCGAGCCTCGCCCGCCCTTGGCTGCAGGAGGCACTGCGCTCACGCGCGCTTCCTCTGCCGCCGCTGGTGTTCACTGCCGAGCCCTACTCGGGCATCATCTGCTGCGGGGTCTTCTCCATGCAGGCCGCCCTCCTGTACCTGGCCCGCAGCGGGGTCGTCCAGGAGCGCCCCGCGTCGGGCGCCCTTTTCGCCGTCAGTGTGGATCCATTCCTTCAAGATATGAAATGTTCGATAGATGATCGCGGAGTTGGCAAGGTCAGAGCATGCGCTGGCGATATCGGAGCGTCTTTGAAGCAGCTGAACGCGACCACCGTCCTCCATCGGATCTCTAGCGTCGCGGCCAGAGTCGCCGCCCTCATTATCAAGCGCTTCAAGTGCATAGTGGCGCCACTCTTCGCCCCGTGCGACCAGCAGATCGCGTCGGACATGACTGAGTGGCCAGCCTGCCGCGCGCCGGACTGGGCATGTTTTCCCGCGCGAGCTCAACTCCAGCACGTGGGCCTCTGGCTCGGGCCCGCGGTCGCCGATGGATCCTGGAGAGAGCCGTTCGCTAAATGGGTTTCGCGCGGCATCTCCTGCGCTCGGAAGGGTGCTCCTGCTGGGGTTATGAGCCACCTTCGCGAATCGCGCGTGGACGGTGTTTTAACATATGTGGCACAAATTATGCCACCGCCGGCGGCCCTCCCTCATCAGAAAAGTGTCGCGGTTGCTCGGTTGCTCAAAATCCCCCGTTGTGCGTTGCCGAGATCGGGCCAACTGTGCCTTCAGAATTCAGGTTGCCCGAAGTTCCAGCGTTTGACCTTGCTTTGCTGCGGCGCCCTCACGAGAGCCAGTTTAATATCACTTGCTGTTTGGCGCGATGCAATGACCACTTTGACAGGCAGCGGAAGCTCGGATTGAAGAGACCGCTCTCAATGGTCTGCCTCGCCCACCTCTTTACCCGAAATTTTGCAAGCAGAGCGCTTTCGCTGAATTCCTCGCGAGCGCCTCTGAAGGATTCCCCGAGGACACGGGTTCCACTGCCCTCACCTCTTCCCGTCTCTCGCGTTTGAGAGTTGCCCCAGCTGCTACCGCTGCCCTCGCCTCGCCCCCTCCTTCCTGTGAACGACGCCCTCTCTTCAAAATTCAAAGACTGCTCCGCAGAGAAATGCGCTTGAACCTCCATATTTCCCCCCTGGGTCGGAGCCGCCCGCCTCCCACTGGTGTATGTGGGTAGCTGCAACCGCTGGTGGAAAACACAAAAAACATCAGCACTACCGCGCATTTCGAGTCGCGCTCCCGCTGCAGCGCTGGCCATATTTTCGCACTTCCGCCCGTTCCGAACCGTGCTCCCGCTGCAGCGTTGTCGTCCTTTTCTTTCCAGCGCCACGCCACGGCATGGTTTTCGGCATTTCCAAATCGGACCCCAAAACTAGACAATGGCCCCCCGATGCAACCCTCTGAAGTGATCACACATTCGGTGCCGATTCTTTGATTTCTGGGGCCGCAGAAGCCCGCCCCCACTGCGGGGCGTCAGGCTACGCGCTGATCTTCAACACCATGCTACGTCATGTGAAGTTATGCTCTGCTACGACATCTGACTGTACGAACAGAGAGAGGAGATCTACGCCATGGTAAGGGATGGGAAGGAGGGTAGAACGTCAGAAATGATTCGAGCGCACCTAGCTTGCCCTCCTCCTCCTCCCCCCTTTCCTCCTCCTCCTCCTCCCCCCTTTCCTCCTCATCCCCCCCTTCCTCCTCCTCCTCCTCCTCCTCCGTCCTCCCTCCCTCCCTTCCGCCTCCCTACCGCCCTCCCTCCCTCCCATCTTCCTCCTCCCCTCTCCATCTTTTGTATCTCGTTTGGCGCGAGCGTGCATCACAGCCACAGGCCCGGGAAAGGCCTCGCGGGGCCCTGCTTAGGCCCGAAGCACCCAGGTGCGACCCAGCGTTCCAGGCATCAGAGAGGCCTGCATCCCAATTCGGCGGTGCCCCCTCCTCCGATGTTCGGCGATTGTGTTGAGCCGTCTGTGGAGGTCCGAGCGTCGTGGGAACGGATGCTGGCTTCTTCGGAGGCCTCGGAGCGGTGTGCTGACCCTGCCCCAGCGTATGGGTTAGATTTCCCCGAGGCCCTCGACATGCATCGTGTTGCCCAGCTCCACGGCTTTAGTGACCCCCACG